GCTGGTCGAAACTTCAGCCTGAAGACATTGAAACTGAGAGATGTTTTCCTGTATACTGGGGTCCACACTCCCTGCCTTTGGCACCTAACTCTTTGAAGCTTACTTACGCGTAAAAAAATGAAATCTTGTCAGTGGCATCACCCTGCATATCCTGTGAACCATGAGTTTTGAAGGGCGGGACAAATTATAGGGAAGTCTGATGCTCTTTGTGACACCTTCCTTCAGTACATAGCAGATGTCCAAGGACTCTAGGCAAGCAGAAGTAGTGTTGAAAGAGTATTTCCTCCTAAGAAATCTCATCCATGATGTATGCATGCAACAATTTATAGATGAGCTTTGGAAACAGAATCTGTGTTATTTTTACTGCTGTTTGGTGATGTCAAAATCTGCTTTGTGGCCATGTTTTTACAAGTGTTGATTTTATAGTCTCAGTGAAAATTGCCACATTATTGAATTTCTGTGTGTGCATCTCATACCTTTTGAATTCTTCTCTTAGTTTTCATTCCCTGTGGTTAGCCTGTGGTTTATCTTCAGAAGAGTCTGAAAGCACCAATGGTTTTGTCACTAAAAAGTTGTTTGTGTGTCACTTAAGAGCAGTTTCTTAAGATCCCCATAAACAGAAGTTTTTTGTATGAGCAATTTAAATTTTTTTTTTTTTTTTAAGTTCCGGACAGAGCTTCAGCTGGATCTCTTTCATTTGAAAGCATTTACATGAGTTTTCCCCAGCCATTTAGAGAGAAGAAAGGAAAAAGTATACTGCTTATTTTGCAGTTGAACCTGATGGGCCTTGTGCCTCTTGCTCTCAGAAGAAGTTCAGCATATCCCTGCAGTCCTCAAGAGATGTGTGTGTGATAAGAAGGTGGACTATAATAACAGATACCGGAAGTGTATGAAGTGAGGCACCTACCTACCACTGTAAGCTCTGAAGAGCCTCATGGTTTTATTCTGGAGGACTTCTGTGATCCACATTTGCTGTCCTGCACTAACAAATGGTCGTGGTGACAGTGGTTGATGTTTTTACAGGCTCGTTTGGTGAGTTTTCTGTTGAACCTTGGTTCTTGTCCTATCAGTTAACGACCTCTAATGTATGGCCACCTTAAAATAGAATGGCTTAAAATAGTTTGTTTGATATGAATTTTTCCTGTTACGAGAGTGGAGAATCAGGCATGATTCCCTAGCACAGAAGGAGAAGAAATGACACAGTGTCTTAAAAGTTGCTGTCGAATGTGACATGATTCCAGGTATAACTATGTGGCCGCTGGTTAGAGATAATGGAGTCGAGCAG